TACTTTCATCATACGCAACACAGCAACATTAAGCTGCTATTTTACGTTGGTATTCTGTCCTACCTCGGTCCAGCCGACCCATTCGTTCTACGATCATAATATACTATAGCGTGGCTCTACCACGTAGATGTTAGATTGCAAATATTTTAATTATGTAAACGGTATACGCAATAATCACGGTAATAATAACGGTATACGTAATATCAAGTCTTATGTCTTACGACAGCTACAAGACTAGTTAAAAGTTAAAGTTACAGCCTATATACGTCCCACTGCTGGGCACAGGCCTCCCCCTCATTTCTGAGAGGGTTTTAGGGCAAGGAAGTGTCCGCCGCGCTGCCCTAATGCGTGTTGGCGAACTTCACATGTCTTCGAAATATTTTTTTCTATTCCTCAGACATGCAGTGCAGGTTTCCTCACGATGTTTTCCTTCACCGCCGAGCACGTGGTAAATCAGCACTTAAAATTGCAATTAACAAATTCATTGGCATTGGCTTGATCCGGCTGGGATCGAACCCAGGTTACTCGCGTCCTGTGATATTTACAGCGATCGTAAACCATCTGAGCTATCACGGCTCGGCAGGACTAGTTGCAGTGATAGAATTATTTACGCCATCATGGCACAATTCTAACTCATCTCCATACTCTTATAACCTAGACAAAATCATTGGTTTAAAATTTTAAAACATTAAAAAGTAAACGATTTTTAGTTTAGCACATGCACATGCACATTTGCATAATCGGAGCGTTCCGATTACTCAAAATGTTCTCCTTCGGAAGAGGCATTTGTTGTCAATTGTCTGCTAACTGCTACCGAAGTGACGATGATATTAGGGACATTAAATATGCACCAATAAGCCCCAAGTTCCATAATATCGGACGTGAATCCTTTTCCGAAATCAATGTGTTGCTTTGGCAGAAACAGCGTTGTATTCAAACAATATTCTTTATAGGTATACAAAGTTTATATATTACGTAGCAGTCAGCGGCAGGCTTATATTCAGTAGTGGTAGAGCCACACTGCTGAAATGGGCCGAATATTCCTTTTAAGTAGGTACTTTATCCCCAAAAAAAATATAAAGAAAACCCCCCCCACCCCCCACCTGGAAAAAGCGGGAGTATTCGGTATTCGGCATATTCGGCAGCTTTACCGAATTATTCGTATTCGGCCGAATATTCGGCTAAAATAGCGAACATTCGTTAAAGTGGTACTCAAGGTGTCCACTGTATTGAAAACATTTATGTACGAGGGTGGATTGAAAAGTACTCGGCCTAACACAGATCCATTCAATTCTAAAAATCAAATCTACCCACATTATTTAGTTCAGTTCAGACTAGTTCATTGTGTAAAATTTGAAACGTGTGCGATAATTAGTTGTGATTTTATAAATTTATTAACAAAGTAATCGGACATAATTTCCGCGAATGGAGCAAATCGAGCAGCGTGCCGTCATTAAGTACCTCCATAAGAAGGGGCTATCATCAAAAGCCATCCATGATGATATGGTCAGTACATTAGGCGATTGTGCTCTGTCATATTCATCCGTCAAAAAATGGATAGCAGAATTTAAGCGTGGTAGAGAGAGTGTGAAAGATGAACCCCGCTCTGGAAGGCCTTCGACGTCAACTACTGACGAAAATATTATAAAAGTACTTGATTTAATAATGGGAGACCGCAGATTAAAAATTAGAGAGATAGCCGAGATTACAGGCATCTCTTATGAATGAACTCAAAACATCATTGTCAACGAGTTGGGTTTCCACAAGGTGTCTGCGAGGTGGGTTCCGCGACTGCTTTCAGATGAACAAAAAAGGACGCGATTGACTATTTCACGCGACTGTTTGGAGTTATTTGAAGCCGATGCAGATGATTTTTTGAATCGTTTTGTTACTATGGACGAAACATGGGTTCATTACTGTACACCGGAAACAAAACAACAATCAAAACAGTGGAGAAGACCTGGTTCACCACCCCCTAAAAAGGCTAAGTCGATTTTGTCGGCAAATAAGGTGATGGCTTCAGTATTCTCGAAAGGTGTGATTATGATTGATTATCTTGAAAGGGGTCAGACTATAAACTCTGATTACTACTGCACCTTACTACGTCGTTTACGAGAGGAAATAAAAGAAAAACGACGAGGAATGCTCAGAAGAAAAGTCCTGTTTCATCAAGATAACGCCCGTGTTCACACGTCAGTACAGTCAATGGCTGAAATTCACAACTGTGGCTTTGAACTGTTACCGCATCCGCCGTATTCACCTCATCTGGCACTATCAGACTTCTTTCTGTTCCCTAACCTAAAAAAGCACTTGGGAGGTCAAAGATTTTCGACAAACGACGAGGTCAAAGCAGCTGTAGACGCATATTTTGACTCTAAGGAAGAATCATTTTTTTTCAACGGTCTAAATGCTTGGAAGGGGAGGTGGCAAAAGTGTATTGAACTTGATGGTGATTATGTAGAAAAATAAAAATATAACTGATTTAGTATGTGTTTATTTTCTTGGTTAGGCCGAGTACTTTTCAATCCACCCTCGTAACTTAAACTTTCATAATTTTACAGTTGAAAGTATATTTTATTTATGGGTTAAATCTACTTGTGTAGCGTTTTGTTTTTGAGACACTGTAGATTTATTTCCAATTATAGCAAATAGAAAGCTTGATAAAATGTTTTTGAAATCAAACAAATAAACATTACATTACTTAGTACATTTTACTTTACTTTAGTCGTCAGTTTCTCTAAAATAAGTCTAAATAGTAGATCTCCTGCTACTCATTTTTATCATATAATCATCAATTTTCACTAAAAATATTATAACGTAACACTATTTTAACAAAAATAGTCAAAGCAAGCATGTGCCAACTATTCGCTCAGTACTAGATGATGCAATAACATGTCAAGTGTGGCGGGGAAGCGAGGTGCAAGCTCCGGCGCTAATCCCGCTTGCTTTACGGTAACAAGTTTCGACATAAATTGGTTAGGTACCGAGGTGATCTTGCCGAATAATTCTCGGCCGAATATTCGGTTCCGTAAAAATTTTACCGAACTTTCGACCGAATATTCGTATTCGGTGAAATCCATATTCGGCCAATCTCTAGTTTTAGCACGAATGAGTCGGCTCGACTGGGGTCCACGGTCCAAGGAGTCCAAGGACCACGGTCTCACAGAATACCAGCGTAAAACAGCAGGTTAATGCTGCTGCGTTTAGCATGGTGAGTGTAGAGAACCGGAGACCCTTTTTATTGGAAACGAGGCATTCTATCCTCAGGGGTGACAACGCATCTGCATATTGGTTTTTAATTGAGGATAAATGTAGATGACTACGGGCCACAGCAATCATATCAGGTGGACCGTGTGCTCGTTTGTCACGCTTATTTTATTAAAAAAAAATAGAGAAGGAGGTAAATGAGCATGCGAGTCAACTGATTTCACTGACGTGGCTGCCAAATGTAAAGAAGCTGGTGCGTTGCAGGCCGTTTAAAGGAGTAAGCTCTTATATTGATGGTGACGAGCTGCTATAATGATGATAGTAATAATAAACGATATATGAGAAAACTACTTAGAACCACGAAGCAATCATTTTCTTATTACCTATTATCGATTTATCGGCTGCAAACAAGCAACTAAACGAAGCGGTATCGAAAAAATGATATGCGGGTACTTTAAAAATAACTTAAAAAAGTTCACGACAAAGGAACACACTATGAAAAGTTAGATGTGATTCATACTCTGAAATAGAAATCAAAAGTCACGACAAAAGTAGACAATGCATTTTCGTTCGCGCGGACACGAATCGCAATAACATCAAGTTAAAATCGGTAGATACTCTCACAGACATTACAGGTGGCAAAAGAAATTAAAACGTGACCGAGTACGAACACGTGGTATAATGGGACACTTTCGTTGACCGTAAACGCAAATTGGATATTAATTTAGCAGCAATGAGGACGAAGTTGTGCGATTCACTGTGGAAAATAAATAAAAAAACACACCCTTGTTTTCGAGAAAGAAGCCATAGTTTGTACACCTTTGCACTTACAGGTTTTTATTAGCAGAATAGGGAATATACATATATCACGCGTAATTTTATCTAGGTCTTCTCTTCTTCCTTTGTATTTTATTAAAAAAAAAAAAACGCAACGTGAAATTACAGCCGAAAATAAAAAAAAACGTCAAAATAGATTCTTAATACGAAAAATATCATAACCGTCCCTCGATCTATCCATTAGTCTACCAAAGTCCACTGCTGAATAAAGGAACACAGGCCTGTGTTCAGCAGAGTATAGATGATAGATTGGATGTTTGCCATAGTAGTCACGCTTGGCACGCAGGTTGGCAACCGCAGTTTTTTTTTCTAGTTGTTATTAGGAAGGCACTTACCGTCCAGTGGCCATCTCCGGGTTTGTTTCCCTTTATCGCCTCTCACTCTTACGACACCCACGGGACGATATAGGATAATGGGTATTCTATATTCTTACACCGCCACTACACGGTGAAAATTAGCATTTATTGTGAGAAATATTCTATAATTTGGAAATTACCCTTTTTAAAATGTTTGAAGATAAAATGGCTGACGACTTTGCTTTTGTTTATTGATTTAGTAACCCGTAACTTTAACACTAGACTATACCTATCCTAAATTTAAATAAACAGTATACAGTGTACATAACTAAATAAAGGCTCACAATAGATGTGGTATGTGATGTGACCTCCATGTATTGAAATGTTATCAATAGATTTCGGTACAATACAATGATTGTGCAAGAGTAATAATAATAATTGAAATTTAGTCATGAATGAAAACAGTAGAGAATTACCTAAATCTAAAACACCAAGCATTTATACTTTGTAATATATATACTACTATTTTACTAAGCAATACCTAGTTAAAAATATATTTGCAAAAGTTATTCGATTTTATGAAGAGAGACAAAAAGGGTTAAAAATCGTCATTCTAGTCAGATTATAGGTAGTTCAAGTAAAAAAAAAATACGTACTTACCGCCGCAACCACTTGAAAACACCCATGTCCTTGAATAGTCACTTTTTCCCTTATTATTACAGTAACACAACCTAAACAATCAAACTTTGAACTAATAGCAATTTTTAAATAATTTCCTTATATTAAATTTAGCAAAACTAAAAGTTTATAAAGTACAAGCGCGGGACCTTAGTCTCGTTAAAGTTCTAGTGCCGTAAAATCGTATTATAACATCTAACATTAATGACCACCGATATATTGTGCGGCCGGTCAGACAAAACATCACGAACAACACGGCATTCGCAATGAGTTGAATTCAGTTTTTGTACAAATTACTTTTCGTCGCGCTCCGGTGATCCACTTCATCCGCGCCGGGCGGTCTATGATCCAGTGTACTGTAGTCACATTCAACTTTTGACCATTCAAACCGAATTGATTGACCATCCCAGTTTATTCATTATTAACAATAAACAGGGTATAATTAAAAAAGTAGAAAAAAGTTTTTGTACTGGTGATGTTATTACCGTTGTTTAGTTGACATTTGTTTTTCTGAATGACTCCGTATTGCCTTATACTCATATAAAAATTTTCTCATTGCAATGTATTTTTAGAAACTTACAATAGTCTTACACAGTAATTGACAAATAATTAATCAAACGTTTTATCAAATTTAAAATATGGCATTGGTATGATTTTATTTGACAAAACGGAAATTGTGTGCATCACGGATCGAATGACTCAATTTATTATTTATATAAATTACAAAATAACAATGTACACATAAAAAGCATAGTAATATTTTATGAATAAAATATTATTATATTATTTTCTTTTTATATGTGCTTCTTTTAAAGGTTTTATAAATCCTAAAAAACTTTATTGTTATTCATTTGATTTAGGGTATGTTCCGAAATACAACGCAGTGTACTGTCCAATGCAAATGACGTCATGAATCGACGCTATACTGGTGATTCGTTCCAAAACATTGTACAGTATATGACGTCATACTTTTGCGCCATTTGGAAAAGTGTTTGCGATTATTTTGTCATTTTATGCTCCAAAAATCATTATATCCTCCTAATGGATATACCATCAATTATTCTATAATTTTTTGTATTTGAATAAATAGAAACAAATTCCGGCATGCTTCATTCGGCAAACACACAATTAAAAATTGTTTTATTATAGCCGGATATCCGACACAATATGGCGACGGCACGCCAGTACAATATAGTGTCAGTTGATGACGTCATTAGCATTTAACAGTGTACTGTGTTGTATTTCGGAAGATACCCTTAAAAATAAGTTTAATGTCGTGGTATTGCTATCATTATTTTCTTCTAAAGACTTGTTTAGGGTAGATTTTTAATTTGTTATAAAACGTTAAAAGTTAATATGACGTTAAAAGTTATAAAGATAAATAAATAAATAAAGGCAAATATTTAATACAAGTTGGCCCAGCAAACGTTGTAATGCCTTTACGGTAGGTAGACACGGCTAGTTACACTCCGAAATTACTCCGGATCTCCGGAATTCTAAAATGTAAAAATATTATTTATTCATAACCTGACTACAGCGCCAAATCTAGCATATATGAATGTAAGTGAATTTGGTCAAGTAATTTAGATTTTCATTAACATCACTACAGATCCTCTTATGAGATCCTAACATTTATATATATCATCGTATCGACAAAAGAAATATATTGTGTGAACATGACCTCCATCGGTCAAGCTGTTTAAAAGTTACATGATTTCCAACAGGTGCACTATAGAGTTTAAATATAGATATTAAATAAGTATTTATATAAAAAATCTTTAAAGTTATAATATAACGAATAAACTGAGCACTTCACATCTTGTAGTTTAATTTACAATATGTAGTAAGCGTAGACAGTCTTTTTATAAGGGTAAGATTAAAAAATGATTACCCGGTTCTATGTGTTCATTTTGTAACCCTATGTATATCGTGGCCTGTAAACACCTAAGTATATTTACCTTCGTTTTAAAATCGGTTGCGTTGTTAACCCAAAGTATTAAAATGGAAAGTTTTGTTACCAGTAATAGTCTCCCCAGTAAGAGATCCTAGTCCGGGTTTCCGGTATTTGTCATTCACCACACATTCAAAACACAGCAGCATAATTCAGGTATTTCATTCTGATATTCTGTGCAAGCGTGGTCGTTCCTCAGACAAGTTGACACATACGTGCTGTAGCCGTAATATGTGATATGTCGTGGCTCTAGGCTATACAATTTTGATGAAATACTGATACTGACGACTTTTGAGGGCAACTTCGCCTAGTTATTAAGAGGGTATTAGATTCAATATCTAATTTGATTTTGAGGTCATTTGTGAAAGCTGAGTTCCGTAGAGTTTAGACCTTCCATGTATTTGTTTCTTGTAACTGGATTTAGTTTTATTAGTTAAAAATAAACTATTTCTTTAAACTATTTTTATGAAATGGCAAACTCAACACGTTAAAACAACTTAACGTACGTATATTAATTTAACTGTAACTTAGAAATAAATATAAAATTAAAATCAGTTGAGAACATTAAATGAAGATTAATGACAAACGACGGCGAATTTGGGTTTTTGTATTGAATTTTCTCTTATTCAAATCCCGAAAATTGTTTAAAGTGGTTCCAACCAGAATGTGGTGTATACGCCGATAACCCATGAGTTAATGTGCAGTAGAGGTAGAGCGGATGCACGGTTTTTATACAATTATGATACTTTATCAGTACAATGCTGCTTATGATGTATGAGATTATTGTGATATGGTGTGTTCACCATGCTTGCACATCACATCATTAAGGTTACTACCATCAGTTGGTTATCATATAAAAGTAACTGGTTCCCAAATTTAACGAGTTTTATTCATTGATTTTAAGATATCATTTAATGTCACAAAGTTTAGTGAAAAAAGAGTGAATGTTCGCTGCTATTCCTGAAACAGTAACCTGATAAAATTAAATCTTATATTTTATTCAATAAGTATTATATTGAGCATAATAATAATCACTAAATAATCTAGCTGAAATTCGTATTACTATCTTTTTATATTATATAACTCCTCCTGGACAGATAGATTAATTTTGAAGACATTTTGTATATGATTAAATTGATTTGATAATGATTTAAAATCACAATTGGACCCGGTAGGTGGCAATATTGTTGACATTATAAAATTACTCGTGAGAAGCCGGGACGTGTCACTATTGATTATAGAAATCAAATATTGGTTTATTAGAACTTGCATGGTTTGGAGTTTTGAATCTATTATTATTACTTTTTACAAAACTTGTAACTTCATCCTAACAGAATATTTGAAAATCTTATGTCAACAGCTATTGCCATTATGCAGGATCATCCTTTCTAATCAACCCGCGAATATTTGACTGCTGGAAATAGGCTTGCTCCATAATTCGGCAGATAAACGTATCCTAGCGGTTGCAGTACTAAACGGATGTTGAATTATTTTTTAATACAAATTAATTATATGATTTTTGTTTTCTGTTCTCTGCTACTTCAATCAAATGTTAAAAATTTAAACTCAATTGCATATTTGCTTTTATATACTTTTAATTTAACAATTCAATACCGTATAGTAGAACTTTTCAAAGGAACAAAAAATGTTATATATTTTATTATAAAAGACGACAACATTTTTTATCAATTGCCACATGTCATTGTCAACTAAAGTAAATTGACATTGATGTGTGTCAAATAACGTAAACAGAGAAAAAGAAAACTGAAACATTTGAATGCATTTGAAATTCAAAAGATCAAAAGATGTGGAATGGTTAGTTTGTTTAGCCAGAACTTTTTGATTTAAACTTTGGCCTTTTTATTTAATTCAAATTAAACCCTTTGGTTTGTTTATGTTTATTGATTATAATAGTTGATGTTATGTTTAAATATTTTACTTAAATAATTATGGATGAATTACGAGGACCGAATATTCAAATAGTCCTTCACGTTAAGGAAGGCAAGTAATATTGGTCACAAACATTTGTTTATTATTCTAAATATAATATGATAAAGTATTTAAAAGGGAATTTTCAGGACTTGGATTTGGTTTCCTGAGAATACCGTTTGTAGTCAGTGGCTCACTAAATGGATATGTACTCGAGACGGACCCTGTGGTGCCAACTCATGCGCCAGCCTTTGATGCCGAGTTAGTTTGGGAAGCTGATAAGAGGAGATTTCGAAGGTGAAAGTTTTATACATTTCCCTAATACTAAATTGCATTAATAAATTAATTGACATTGTGTTAATAATACCAAATATTAAAATAAATAATTTATTCGTGAATTTTATTTGAAATTTATGAGATTATGTAGCATTTCATATTTTAAGTTAATTCATAAATCTTTATATTATATATGTAGAAAGATATTAAAATCTAGGTTTATTATGGAAAACCTTATTATACCTTCCCACAACAACAACAATTACTGAGATTAGCCCAAGGACCCACGCCAGCAATAAGGCTCCTTTAACGGCGGCCGCTCCGTCCATTTTATACAATTGAGACAAGTAGCTACACGAGCACCACTGCAGGTGCAGTGCGCAGGTGTGCGGTGCACAATAATTTATTACAATAAATTGTTTACAATAATTCCGACTACCTACAGAGGAGCTGCAACATGTATCTATTTGACAAAAAGAGTACAAATACTAAAACTACAACGACACAACATAGTTTTTATTGCTGAATTGTAGAAGAGTAGTTATATATTATCATATAACATCTACCTTTAAAATAAAATTAATGTGCCTATCCAAACCGTAGGCACATTTATTTTATTTTTTCTTCCTGAATTTTTGAGCTGTAATGCATTTTCAGTGCCAGTGAGTTGTATCTCAGGGGCTTAGTGCTCGCTATAAATATCATAGCACCCCAGCAACACAGGTTCAATCCACATTGGCACTAATAAAATTGTTTATTGCACTTTAATGTGCTGATATTACCATATGCTCGGTAATTGGAAATAAGTGAGACGGTATTGACTCTGCTCTTATCAACTCATTTGGTCTCAACTCTACTATGAAGAGTATGACTAAATTTCTCAAGAAATGCACCAATTAATAAATTTTCATGTAAATCTTTATCTAAAATTAGATTCTTAAAGGTATAACCCTTAGAAAATGTTATTATTATTATTTATGTTGTCGGTGTTTTAAGTTCACCTAAGGGATATGCCAAGCATATTTTAAAGCAATTTACAGATGGTTGAGTGCCCTAGTGTATAAACTTTTTGAAACTAATAGCCAGATCAGTGATATGATTAGAGTGTATGTAACAAGTATGCACACATCCCCATTCACATTAGGGATTTTTAAACTGTGGATTTATGTCTCTTTAATGTTGTGAAAAATTATGCTGATAAGACAGCAACAGATTCTAATGTTACATTATTTTGGTTATTTTCAGTTGCCTTGACTATGTTAATTCATGTTAAAATAGTGTAGAATTGGATATTTACAAGATACTTAAGTAGACTATTTTAAAAAATATGATTTAATATTGTTGTAATAGAATGATGTTGAATGACAAATATTTTAAGATCCTGAAAAGTTTAATAATTATTATAATCCTTTAGTTGTTTCATTCATATAATTTTTTATTAATTTGAATAAAAGTTAAAAAAAAACTACATGAATATTATATACATCTGTATTAGCCTAGAATAAGAATAAAATGCTTAAATTTTCTTTCAGTCTCCGCGTTCAAAATGTACCTATCAAGGTAGAAGTGTTTACGACTGGTACTCAAGGGAGGAAGGATAAAGTAGGATATATCTTGCTTAGCCTACTTGGAGCGCAACCATGCCCAACAAATAAAATTGTTGATGTAAGTTAAAAATGAATTTGATGATCAGTTTGCTGCATCTTAGTTGCTACTTACATTCCTGGTGTTGAATTATCTCCCATAAATTGATATTGTATTTTTTACCTGATTGCTGTGGGGTCCCAAAGAAGTTTATTATTATTGGCTGCTACATAATGGCCTCCAGACCGAATTTAGGCCACGGCGGCCTGCCTCAGCGGAGGCTAGCCATCGGCACAGGATAGGATTATAGTGCCCAAGTGTATGTGCAAGCACAGGTGCACTCTCTATTCCCTCACTCTCATAATCCAATGGGATTGTAAACCGATATGATCGGAGAGAGATCAGGCGCAGGACCAAAGGCTTTACGTGCTTTCCGGGGCATGGGGGTGAGATACCGCCAACTTCCGGACTCCGGGCAACTACTGAGAATTTCTTGACGGAAAACCTCAATAATTAGTTTTTTTTTGGCCCGACCCGGGATTTGAGCCCTGGACCTCATGATCAGCAGTCGTATTACTACAATCTGTAGACCAACGAGGCAGTCTGCTACATATATGTATGAATTTAAGTTAAAACTTAATCTTATCATTATCTAACTAAACTAACTAAGGATGACAACCAAGTACACAGTCCATTTGATGATAAGCTGTTACATCTGTCCTCAAGAATCAAAATGCAGATGTGTTATCACATCCTGAGGACTAAGATGGAACGCCCCATTGCATCGCTGCTGACTTCATGTGTACTTTTTTTTTGTTAATAATTTACTTATCTAAATATCTTTGTCTGATTAGAAATATAAAGTAAGAGCCACAGGGATTTTCCAAAGCTTGTGGGTATGATAAGGTACTGTAGGAAATTTATAGAAAGCTTTGTCACAATCAAAACTTAAAATGTCTATAGTGTAATGTACTGTCAGTGCTATCTGTCTGCCAGCCTTGTGATTAATTATAATTTACCCGATGTGGATGAGGTGATATTAGGAAAATAGTTAAAAGAAAAAATATTTTCAAAACACGAAAGAACTACACATATTTTACTTATCGATCTTATGAAATGTACAATATTTCATTGTACATGATTTTTTTCCTGATTTCAGATAAAGTATTCATGGCATAAACTGCTAGGAGTAAGATCTGAAGGAAAATGCTGCCACCCTCAATTACTGATGAGTCTGTCGATTGAAGACAGAGTAAATACGCCAACTCCGGTATGAGAATTTTTATCATAATTTGTAGATTTTTTATCCATACCAATAAATAAAATTGAAGGGTCTGTTTGTAATGTCAAATAGCAGCATTTATCTAAATGCATATGTAAAAATAATATGTAATAACAAAAAAATAATTTATAAAATTTTTGTCTGTCTTTTGTGTGTTCAGAGTTCAGACTAATTTCTGAAAAGGCTGGATCGATTTTGACGGAACTTTCACTGACTAACTTAGGTTACTTGTTTAGAAAAAAGTAATTAGTGTACCGCGTATAAAGAATTAAAACCATTGAAAATGTGAACGAAATCCGATTTAGATAGTATGTAATAATAAATTACTAAAAATTATTTTATGCCAATGAAGTTCCGGAAACAAAAATCGTCCTAAATTTTCGACTACTCCCACCTTCGATCGGCTATCATCTGTTCTGAGATAAGAGATAACAGGGCTCTAGCTGCTCTAGACTAAAGGAAAATTGCTCGCTTTGCATTTCAAATAATGAAGCTAAATCTTTTAGACGCGTTTACTTTGACGACGTAATGTCCTCCAGACCGAATTACGGTCAATTACGGTCACGGAATTACGGCCTGTCTCAACTTAGACTAGCCATCTGCGCAGGACATGATTATAGTGCCCAAGTGTATGCGCAAGCACAGGTGCACACACTATTCTCTCACTCTCAGTCCGACGGGAACGGTTATCCGACACGACTGGAGAGAGATCAGGCGCTGGACCAACGGCTTTACGTACATTCCGAGGCACAGGGCACTTAATTACATTTAGTGTCATAAACTTTGCATAGTATCGCATCTTTGCGAATTTCCTCTTTAAATAAAAATAGATTTAGTAATAAAATTAGTGTTTAAAGTTTATTGGCTTATTTATATTTTTTTAAGTAAGAAGGATAATAAAAACAAACTTAATTTAAACATTACTTAATCTTTTCGCCTTTGTCGTTCATACATATGCATAAATTTTGTGCTATTAGTTTTTAATTAGGACACATTTTATTTGTTCTCTTTTCTTAGTCAACTACCCTCCAACTTTGAGACAACCACGGGTTGAAATTATGTAAATCGGGTTTATGGACGATTAATCTGTATGAAAGTATACGCCACACTATTGCAAATAAATAAATAAAGAGAAAAAAATTTCATTATTTGCTTTTGTTAAGATTTGGGGGAAGCAAACAACTATAATTTTAATAAGGTTTTTTTATTCCACTGCGCACAAATTATAATTTAAATCGGCACTACTAATTGTACTTATATAGTCTATAATTTTAAAGGAAGGAGACATCAACCACAGACGATATGAGACACACATAAAAATAATTTTGTTGATTTTATAAGAGTATTTTTTGTGATTTCAGCGCAACGAACTTCGCATGTTCCACAGTAATGAAGTAGCATATCCACCGACGTATCGTGCCAACGACACGCAATTTACAAGACCAATGCTGTTGACATTTCGTGAGTATCTATTAAACATAATCGTAATATCCAATTAAGTATTAAGGTCAATCAAGTATTTAAAAAAAATTAAATAAAAATACTAGCAATGCTATCAACATTACTAATTAAAGTTGTTCAAAACGACTATATATAGAACGCTATAGGCTATAAACTATAAATATCTAGCGCGCTATTAAATACGCTATGTTATAGCCCGCTATTTATAAGAAAGTGTGTAAGAGGCCGGCAAACGCGTTAAGTTTTGCAGCATGCTATATCTCGTAGCACGTTACATTACATGTCGTTTTTAGAATATACCGCGTGCTATATAAGAACATTATTTCGTAATAAGTCGCATTTTAGACTAAATGAAATTAAAGCAGTAAATAAAAAACAATGAACACTCTCATACTTTTCGGGCTTACGACTATTATCTACAATCGACGTTAACGTTATTTTAACATTAATGTAAATTATAAATCAATTAAAGACGTATTTAAAAGTTTATTAATTGCAAATACAAAAATAAACTATTTACATACACTATTATATACACTTTTGTATCTATATTTATTTTATTTACATTTAAAAACATTATTTAGACTACTTTTGTAGCAGACAACTGTGTCCTTAGATAATTTATAAATATACAGTATCACTAACTAAACAACGTCTAACAATTAGGTCGCGCACGATGAACAGCGTGCAACTACTTAGATCAAATTTGCGTCACACGTCCAGGTCCCAACAGCGCTGCTGTTAAAACTAGTTACCGCTAGATATTAATACTTATTAGCGCCCAAGCGCCATAGCGCTATAGCGCCTTGGCGACTACATACATAGCACGCGCTATGCGCAATGGAGAGATAGCGCGCTATAATATGGCGCTATGCGTTATATTAACCACCATTAATTAAAACCCACGACCTGTTGAGTTCGCGGTCCGCGCTGTGCCAACACATCGATGCATAAAACATTATCTATTATTTATTATTGTCAATGTTGTGTACACTTATACTATGTATCCATTAGAAGCATAAAGTAATGAATAATACATGTTTATATTATAGACCACATAATATAGTCTACTTTTGTTGTTCTTTATCATTAAGTAAATAAATAAATAATAGCGGGAAACAGTCCACAGCTGGACATGAGACTCTCTGATAGAACAATTTACAAACAGATGGATTGGCAAGCATCGTAGCAGATGTTTTGTACCTTGACTTGACTTTGTTTTCCTTTGTTCCTATAGAATGTATAATAAGATGGTTTGTCATATTATTTTTACGACAAATTATGAGATCTTATTAACAATTTCATTACATTAAACATTTTAGAACGAAATGGAATATTGAGGTCTTACAGCGCATATTATTTATTTTATTTATTCTTTATTGCATTCCATAAAACAAAAGAATACAAAGGGCGGACTTAATTTCTTGAGGCATGCTCTATCAGTTAACCATATGAATCTATTCATTTTTAATTCATTACATTCTTTGTTTAGAGGAGTACATAGAGGAAAGTAAAAAGTCTGTGTCATCCCCCCGATCTCCAACCGCAACTGATATGTGAAGAAGGGCTCATACAGATCGGTCAAGGAGAGCAATTATTCGTTCTGAGCTTTGTGATAGGTTCTGTGGAGAACTTGGATTTGGTAAATATAGCATTTGGTTTGTGTATTTATAATAATAAGAATCGTTTTTGGCCTCATATAAATTATAAAATATTACAAAATGCGTATCATTGTTGTAAATGAACGCTAGTTCTATTCTTGATTCCGATACAACTGGCTGTAAGGATTTGTAGTTTTAATATTTTTTTATAGGATACGATGACAAACGAGCACACAGTCCACCTAATGGTAAGTGGTTGTTGTGGTCCATAGACATCTACATCTATCCTCGATTACAATCAAAATGCAGGTTCGTTGTCACCCGTGAGGACTAAGATGAAATGCCTCGTTTTCAGTAAAAAGGGTCTCCGGTTCTCTACACTCACCATACGAAACACAGCAGCATTAAGCTACTATTTGACGCTGGTATTCTGTGAGAGCTTGGTCCTTCCCCGGTCGAGCCGACCCATTCGTGCTACAACTATACTACTAATATAACTGCAGCATGCAGCAGCAACTGTCAGCCGTAGGACTGCACGTCAGAAGAAAAAACTTAGCTTCACAAACTTGTAAATATTATTATTGGGTTGTTAAGAAAAAAATTTTTTAGAAAATATTTTTATTAGATTTTTATATAAAATTAAAGTAATAAATTTTCATTTATTGCGTCGTTTTACGTATTACACACATCTAGGGCCCAACGTGCATAAAGAAGTTTTGAATTCAATATCGTTATAATTTGACAAATATGTTTTATTTTATAAGTACGGAAATCCACGTATACAAAGTCGCACGTTACTGAAATATTAACACAAAAATACTTCTCCTCATTCCAGTTGCTACCAAATGACATTAGCAAAGAATCTGTTGATTGTTGCGTCACATATTCGATTTTCACGCACAACATAATGACTGACAGGTATGCCATGTTCACTTTATAGTATGGTAAGTACATATTTCAATTGTCTAAAATGTTTAAGTATCCAGAAATTAGGATAGTAGATATCAATCTTTAAAATATTGGCATTAACCTTCTTTGTCCGTTACTGGGCAGAAAGATTTTTACCGTCTGCTATAAAACCACAGGCAGGGCAATTTATGTAAGCACTGAAGTTGCAGAAAATAGCATATCCTACTACAGAACCTAGTTAAGTTGAGTTGTATCAATTGTTAAAATACCGTTATCAATCTTTTATTTTTTTTAATTTATTAAGGAACAGCAAACAGCTACAAAATACAGTAATATCTAAAATACAATAACATGATGTATTCACAATAATGTAACCCACAACGCTATCCACATATTACTTACAATGCTAATTAAATTGTCGCGGACGCTGAATAAAAACTTAACTAACTTTTTAGTCTGTTAATGGGCAAATGGGTTTTTACTGTCTGCTATAAAAACCACAAGGCAATTGATGTAAGCACTGAAGTCGAAGAATCTAGCATATCCTACCACAGAGTCTAGCCTAGTTGAGTTTCTATTAGCATAAAACCATCCGGAACATTTGTATAGAAATGACAGTGGCAAGGATAAGGAAAAGGAAGAGTGCGTTTAAAATTAATGCTTGTAATTTCTTGTTAGGATCTTTTATAGAATATTTAAATCTTGTCTTTTATCCATATTATGTATAACTAAGTATGCAATATCAAGCTGGACAAAAACAAATACCGGATAGTAAGAGAATATTCATTGCATCTTTACATTTAAGCGACTGTTCCTTTGATATTTATTTGGTCTAAATTATAAATAAGACTCTTCGACCACCTTCATGGTGAAATCCTTCACTTTTTTTTTCACTGTACTGGTGCAGGTGGGTTGGGTGCTCGTTTAATACCCTTATATTCATAAAAAATATGTTTTGCTATGTTGACAGTTTCTTAAATATTTGGGAGTTGTTGCCGTACCTAATGTGGCAATGGGACTTCATCATCACACTCTTAGGCTACCGTTAACCTTGCAATATTCTTCTCATCTTTATTTACCTGCGTAAGATATAGATCTCTTCCACTGTAGGAAAGATTTGTCATAATTGCTATGTGTGGCAGGCAGATTGACGAATGTACTATACGACATATTTTAAATTTCGGTCTGGTAGTACTCATTTATTTCTTTCTCCCATAAAATATATTCTTCCTTAGGTTTATACCTTTATCTATCTGTTGTCAGGAGATCTTCTTGATATGCTCAATAGTAGACCCCTGGGATGAAACCGGGTCATATATACTCTTATTTCTTCGTATACTGCGTGTGTTTATCGTAATTACTGGAACTGAAGAGTTCTTTTGTATTATTAATTATTTTTTATTTATAACTGAAATTCAGAGTGGGCGCAACATCGCTCAGCACGGGTAGCAGTGCGTTATTTAACCAGCGCACATCGCTTCGGCTTAGGAGCGAGCTTTCTTCTCTTAACCGCTACTTTGCGGAGTGCCCGCATCTAGTCGTGAAAGTTTGCGTCACCGAAAGAGATGTCGGTATGTAACTGTATATTGTTTATTTTACATAAGATAGCTAATTAATATATAAACAGAATATCTTAATATATATATATATATATATATATATATATATATATATATATATATATATATATATATATATATATATCGTTACCATTCAAAACGCATTGCTGCTGCATGATGCTATTTTACGCTGAAATTCTTTAAAAGTCTCTACTTATACATACTTTTACATTTTATACACTGCACTTAATTTGATGTATTTTACAACCAATGCGCTATCACTTTACTAAACGTACTTTATACGCTGTCTCTTTATTTGACGCACTAGACAACTATTATTCTATCAATTTACTAAACATACTCAAAACCAACAGGCGAAATATTGTTTTGAAAAATTCTGCCGTTTTTGTACAAAACAAAGGTGCAGCCATTGTGTCACTGAAGAAATTCGGAGAGCGAATGCGCAAAAACAAATTTCTTTTCGATATATGTACTAAATTATCATTGCACTAATTTTGCAGGTATTAGGCGAGGGTAATAATGGAAAACAAATGACTCATAACATAACAATGTCGCACCACCCTTTGTATACCGCACCGCCGCCGTGGCGTTGCGTTCGTGCAACATGTTCACCGCCCTAGCCGGGCTGAGCCCGAGCTATGATTTATGACCCCAACTGCTCGGAAAAAATAATTTCACTATAATACTCTATCTTCTTCTTTACATTTAGTAGCACCTTTACGCTGTCACTTTGTGTGACGTACTTTACAAGTAATACACTATCACTCAGTATTTACACATTGTACGCTGTTACTAAATTTACATTGCAGGCGTGTGCAGCTTAGACTTGCGTAAGCTGGTGCCCACGGAAAGTCTGCAGCAGTTTGTCAGCGAGTTTTGCAACAGCGACCACTCGCTTACCATACACGAGCGCTGCTACGTGTTGCGCTGCGAACAACGCGATCAAACTAGTTCGCACACGCGTCGCCCCTACATGGACGTCGAGATCAGTCTGAAACATATCGGCCACAAGAATATTAAACAGGTATGTTGCTAAGGTGTTTAGAAGAACATGTAGCTTTTTATAGGCATAATGCAGTTCACCTGGTCGTACTACTACCGCCGCCCATGAATATCTGCATCACTAAAGAATCGCTGGTGCGTTGCCGGCGTGATGTGAAAAAGTGATTTTTTGTGGCTATCAATTAAAAAATCGTGTTTCAATTGTTTCTGGTTGACGAAGAAGTAACTAAAGAAAATGCGTCGGTACCATTTATTTTTAATCAAATTAGGATAGGAGTGCTTTAGAGCAATAATAAAATAAAATAAATATAATAGCAATAAATATAATTAATATTTTGTTTTAATAATAATTGGAACCATTATTCGTGTAAAACACATTTTTTTGTTTTCGGGTTTAGATGACATTACTTCATTATAACAACATGTTTGTTGTGTCAACTTTGATTTACACAATGGGCTTGGACATTTAAACTTGTAATATATTGGGCATAGTAGCAATGTGTTAGTGATGAGAACTAAGTGACAGGCCTTAAAAAACCTAAAAAAATCACCTCTTAGAAAAAATAATATAATGTTAATGATCTATATATGTTGAAAAATATAATAAACATGACCGACTTTGTATCGCCCTCATATCTGTTTCTACCGCCATGCAGCAATAATTTAGAAGAGTATTTCATTTTATTCCTTAGCAATGTAAAGGAGTTGGGGCCTTTTTTGTTTTAACCCTACCATTTCGCGGACTGATGGTTTGATTGTTGTAATATTGAGTATATTTACTGTGGGAATGCCAGCTGTAGTTAATCATCGTCATCATTATTATCATTACAGCTCTTTACAAGTCCACTGCTGAACATAGGCCTCCCCCAAGGTATGCCACAAAGCACGGTCCTGAGCCGCCTGCATCGACTTCCGGCATGTCTTACCAGGTCGTCACTCCATCTAGTGGGGGGTCGTCCTACGCTTCGCCTACCGGTAAGAGGCTGCCACTTGAGAACCTTTTTTTCCCAACGGTTGTCGATTCTTCGAGCTATATGGTCGGCCCATTGCCATTAATATTGCTGCAGTTAATATGTGCGCAAAAACAAAAGTTCTTCTTTTTGTTGAGTTTAAGACACGGACGATGTCTATTTGTAAGCGACAGGTAATTAGAAATATAAGTAGTTTTCACCTAAACCGACTTCTAGAAGGAGAACAACAGCTCTGCCACAATGATATATTTTTTATACTATAATTATTTTCTCTGTATTTTAGAAACCCAACGCGTTAGCAGCTCGTAGTGTCACGCATATAGAGAGGGGAGCTACAGAAGCGGAAGTGCAGGTCATGATAGATTATAAGAGTGGGAGCTGTACTCACATCGATCGAGACGTGGGTGGAGTTGCGTACACTAACAAGTCAGCGGGGAACACTGCTAGGTGAGAGACACCTATACTTCACTGTATATATATATATATATTGTTATATAGTTGTTAAAAATAAGAAAAATGTGAGAGCGGATGTTCAACGTGTTCTCTTACTTACGCAATTAATTATTATCACCAATAAAATAGCATACTGCTCTATACATTCCGTACAGGCAAATATAGTTCGACCATACCGTAATATGTCCCCGTCGTAAACACACGCTGGTGTAACGTGAAGGACATTATTACACCAAAGTATAAAAACCAACAGCAACATTACATATCTCATTGTAAGACAACAGCCTCTCGGCAACACCATTTCCTTGCCTGCACCAGAAGAATTACTACATCGAACAGAAGCACATTATCTTAGTACTTCTAGAATGGCTTAAGCCCGGTTTACATTTTGAGAAGTGACAAGTGGAAGTGCCAAGTGCAACTGACAAATGACAAGTGCTTAGTGCGTGTGAACAGGCAGTGACAAGTGATAAATGGGGATCATCACTTCCCATTTGTCACTGTCAGTTGTCACTCGCACTTGTCGCTTCTCAAAATGTAAACCGGGCCTTAAGCGAAATCTCTCGCGCACGGCGCCTACAGTATTCTTTATACTACACAAACGTGTAGGGGTTTCTCGATATACCCTCAATTCTACCGCGCCACCATCGATATGACGCCCCACTAGTGACGTAACCTCTGGTTCAATCGATCCATTATTTTATAGACGCATCGAAATACTGAAAAGGACATTAATTTGAAATAATTACATAATTGTTATAAGACATTATTTATTTTATGTATTATTTTTTTATCACAGGTACAAAACAGCCTCAGGGGATAATGTGCTGCAAACCAACGAAATTACGGAACTACTACGGAAAATGTGCGATTCGTTTGCACTTAGTCAGGAGAAACTATTGACATCTAGATCTAGGCCTTTCACAAGTGACATGCAAGTACAGTGCGGCCCAGAAATTGATACAAATAATGAATTCTTAATGCCTGAAAGAGATGAAAATAAAATAAATAAGAAGGATGATGAAAAACAAATTGATAAGGATATAAATGAAAATAATTGGTAATATATTAGATAAGTTTCTCTTTACCTTTATAGAAATTATTTTACCTTTCAAGAAATCTGTTTTTACAATAAAGGTGACAAACGAGCACACAATGCACCTGATGTTAAATGGATGCTGTGGTCCATAGACATGTACATAATACTCAATTAAGAATCAAAAAGCAGATGCGTTGTCACCCCTGAGGACTAAGATGGAATACCTCGTTTCCATTAAAAAGGTTCTCCAGTTCTCACTCACTCACCATACGAAATTGGTATTATGTGGGAGCGTGGTCCTACCCCGGTCAAGCCGACCTATTCATGCTACAATGATAACATAGCTGCAGCGTGGTTGTATCACATAATTTTACTTACTTCACCGGCTCAGGTACCCGAAGTGAAATTTCAACTCCGACAATAGATTAGATAATCGAGGTTAAATGTAGATGTCTATGGGCCACAACATCCACTTACCATCAGATGGACTGCGTGCTTGTTTGTCACCCTTATCCTATAAAAGCCAATCCCCCCCTGTAAAAAGTCGAGCTCTCAACATACACCTTCAAGAACAACAACATTCTTTCCACTTGCATGATATTTCCAAGCGAATGCAGTTGTGTGGCTCTCATTTCTGCTAGGGTATTAGGAGTAGAAACGATTTACTCTACATGTTCTTATCCCCTTTTTTGGTTGATCCCAGAATCTTCCGAAAGATCTTCCCTTCGGCAACTAAAAGCTTATTTGAAATAAGCTTTTAGTTATCCCCTTAAGGAAGGAAATAAGTTATTTCTTTCCTTAAGGGTTAGGGTCAAAGCTTCACATCGTATTTCGAAATCGTTTCTTGATAGTTTCATTCTTTTTTTTTAATATTTAATATTTGTGTTTTATTTTCAGTGAGCCGAATGTAAATAAAAACAAAACGTTCCCTCCTCCACCCACAGAAAAAGGTAATGATCACAATACCATATTAAAAGTGAAGTTACAGCCTATGTACATCTCACTGCTGGAATCAAAGCGCTATGGAGCAATAAATCGGCCACGCTGGTCCAGTGCGTGTTGGTGGACTAAAGCCTTAAACCAACGAAAGCCGTCGATCCTGCGCCTGATCTCTTACCGGTCGTGTCGGATTACCGTCCCGTCGTACTAGAAGAGTAGGGGAATAGACAGTGCACCTGTGCTTTTGCGCACACAGTCTTGTACTATAATCCTGTCCTATGCTATGGCTAGTCTCCGTCGAGACGGGCTGCTGTGACCCAAAACCGGTGCAGAGAACATCATATAATTCAAGTTAGCGATGGGCAATCATTACTAAACTAATCGAATTAGTCGATTGTTCAGTTTAGTCGATTAAATTCGATAACAATCCATGTTAGTCGATTGTTATCGACTTACGGCATGCAGCGGGTGACGATTAATGACGGTTACCGTGTCAAATTTAACTACTAATTTGTAGCGCAGAGCACTTATTATATGAACTACTAAATAAGTAGTTAATAATAATAATAATAATAAGCGAAAACATGGTGGGCGTGGCTTCTTGAGCGCGCTCACCATGCATAATCGCGAAGTGAGCAGCCTAAGTGATTACTTCCTGGCGAGATCGGATGATCCATTCCATAAGGACGTCATTTCTTGTGATAAAGGACTTACCCCTCTATCCTTAGCCAACGAGCAATGGCAAGACCCGGCGGTGCAGAGAAATTCCGACCGGGAGACCGTATGGAAGGAGAAAGAGCTCCACGGGAGGTTCTACAAGGCTCTACGTGAGCCTTTCGTAGGCACAGTAGCCTCCCTCCACAGGCTACGCTTTGGTGATCTCTTCGGGGAAACGGGGTTTGTCTGTGCAATACAAGATCAGGTTATTAAGACCACCAACTATCGGCGATACATCCTAAAGGATGGCACTATCGACGTCTGTCGAGCTTGTCGCCATCGCGGTGAGACACTTAGGCATGTCATCTCCGGTTGTTCGGCGCTTTTTAACTCTGAGTACTTGCATAGGCACAATCTAGTAGCCAGAATTCTTCACCAGGAGCTCGCTCTGAAATACGGTCTCGTGGATCGGAAATTGCCATACGGCAATTTCTTGTAACACTACACCACTTGTAATACTACAAGTACTTCCTCTGGCAAGTTGCCAGAGCAAGTACTTGTAATTCCGTAAAAATTATTACTGGAAACTTTTTTTTTACTGGAAACGAGGCATTCCATCTTAGACCTCAGGGGTGACAACGCATCTGCGTTTTGATTCTTAATCGAGGATAAATGTCGATGTCTATGGGCCACAGCATCCAAATGCTCGTTTTTACCCTTATTCTATAAAAAAATTAGAATAAAAAGTTATAATTATTCGAATAGTGTCTTTCACACTGTATCTTAATTAGTCATAGGTTTAAAAGAGATCAATCAGTAACTAGGTAATTAAGTAATGTATCTAATTCTAATCTACCTTACTGATAGTAGGAATTTAATTAGGAAGGCATTGTCCAATACAAGATTGGTGATTACGACGATGATAACTGTATTAAGTAAAACAAACTTAAATTCTTTTCTCAAATCAACTGGCTAATAAATAAAACAAAAATAATTCTTATTAACCAGGAAAAAATTGAAACAAAAAACAATTATTTTCTTACATTTATCTACCAATCAAATTAATATTTCTGAATTACATAGCGGCGGATTTCAGCGTGCGTACAGTTACCAGTTTGTCGATTGTTATTCGAATAATCATGTTGAGGAACTACCTAATTGACAATCGAATGTGCATAGCACAATTTTCGATTCAATCGATTGTTTTTTTTTTTTTTTGCAACAATCGCCCACCGCTAATTTAACATTAATTTACGCGTTTATCTCTATATATAAAAATCAATTGCTATCCGTTCGTCTCGGTAAATCTCAAAAACGGTTCGACCGATTTTGATGAAATTTTTTGTGCGTTTGAATGGATTGATACAAAAATTGGCCGTGTAAAGCTGGGGTGAATCGCTAACTAGAAATTAAAGAATGAACTAAGTAATTGATACAATTTACAGACATAGTCAAAATCGCACTTTCTGTAGTGGATCGAGATGCTATAATGCAAAAGTTTATCAACGAACTCGAGGATTGGAAGGAGATGCAACAAGAATTGTTTAAATGTCAAGTAAGTGCACTCAAAAAAAAATAATAATGTCCTCCAGATCGAATTTCGGCCACGGCGGCCTGCCTCAACGGGGGCTAGCCATCGGCGCAGGACACGTTTATAGTGCTCAAGTGTATGCGCAAGTACAGGTGCACTCTCTATTCCATCACTCTCATAATCCGATGGGACGGTAAACCGACACGATCGGGAGAGAGATCAGGCGCAGGACCGACGGCTTTACGTGACCTCATGATCATCAGTCGCACTACTACAACCACTAGACCAACGAGGCAGTAAAAAAAAATAGCGTTCTGATAATACCGTATCAAGGAAGCAGTCTCAAAATAATACAATTTTTGTAATTTCAGTTGAAACGCAAGGAAGAGTACCACCTAGAACTACTCGCAAAAGAGTGGGAGAAGAGACGAGAAGAGTTAGAGAGCAAACTGAGCCGCGGCGTGGAACGGTGTCGTACTCTGGCCAATGACTTAAGCCAAGCGACTGAAGACTTTCGTTTAAGGGGATATAGAAATACTGAAAGGGAAAGAAAGGTGAGTTATTTTTATAAATCCATTTGGTCGATATATATATATATATATATATATATCGACCAAATCAGGAGATGAGCAACAGCGTCTTCCTAATAATGAATAAAAATAAACTGCGGTTGCCAACTCGCTTGTCAAGTATGGCAACTATCGAAAATGTATGGCAACGTGTATCTATGAGGCAATCAGTGGAGGAGGCCTATGATCAGCAGTGGACTTTAATAGGCTATAACGGTAACGGTAATATTGTTCTTCATCATCATCATCATCACAGCTCTTTACAAGTCCACTACTGAACATAGGCCTCCCCCAAGGAATGCCACAAAACATGGTGAGCCACCTACATCCATCTACTTCCGTCATGTCTTACCAGGTCATCACTCTATCTAGTTGGGGGCTGGCTTACACTACGCCTACCGGTACGACGCTGCCACTTGAGAACCTTACTTCCCCATCGTTTCTCGGTTCTTTGAGCTACGTCTCAGATCCATAAGTCATCACTGGCAACACGGACTGGTTGTACAATTTTGCCAATATTGCAATTACTTATTACCAAATAAAAAAATCATATATATGAATACATAAATAAAAGTAATTGATAAAGAGGAGGTTATCAAATTAACTGCACTTTACTTTATGCAATTTTTATGCAATTAAGACGATATTTTTGAGCTAAGTTTTAAGAGTTTGCTTTGTCACTTATACATATAACCATGCTAATCAAGACTGCAGTAAGGTAGAAAACATTTCGGAAAAACCGACTTTTTAAAAATAACTCAGCACTTTAGCTTATCGTTATGGAAATTTGATATCTCATTAGGAAGATATAGAATATCTTCATCAGGTTTCCATTGATATCGTCACAAGGGTTCGGAACGTAGAGAGCACGGCATTATACTTTCTCATCAGTCCCGTATTTCCACTTAGTTAAAATATAGGTTCTTAGTTAGTACTTGGAACTGCAATTGTACGATGTATCGTACAATCGCAGTTCGAAGTATCTCCTAAATTCTAAGTAGTAAGTAAGATCTCGCAGCAATATATAATTGAAGCACATTAAGAATTTTCAAATGTTTAGTTGACTCTTTACAGTTGATCCTGAACCACATGATCACATTAGTTTAACGTCTGTTTTTCACTGAGAAAGATTACTTATTATAATTTATAACCATATCTTCGAAAGATAATCGAGATATGATTTTTATATCTCGATTAACCTTTTTACTACTAATATTTTATTAAATCTATTAAAATCTATAATAAATTTATTATATTATTTTAAAAAATATTTGATTAGACACGTTGATAATTGACAGCAATGACACGTTAATACGTAGGCGTGGTAGAGCCATGCTGCAGTTACATTAGTAGTATAGTTGTAGCACGAATGGGTCAGCTCGGCCCGGGAAGGACTATGCTCTCACAGAATATGGTAAGTGTAGAGAACCGGAGACCTTTTTTACTGGAATCGAGGCATTCCATCTTAGTCCTCACGGGTGACAACGTATCTGCATTTTGATTCGTAATCAAGGATGGATGCAGATGTCTATGGGACACAGCAACCACTTACCACTATGTGGACTGTGTGCTCGTTTGTCACCCTATCCGATAAAAAAACGTGATAATGATTCTATTGAGAATACTAGGTTACCTATAATATTGAAATTCTAATAATTCATAGGTTGTTAATCGGTATTCGTAATTGCAGTCTATTTAGACTTTCGAAAGTGGGTGAAAACTGAATTATAAAACTCTATTACATTTTAAGCAAGTAAATGTGTATTAAATTATATATTTTTATCACTCCGTAAAAGTTCATTGAACACGAACCTCTTCCATTGTATTATTCCATTTAATACTCCCTGCCTTAAACGCCTTAAACGTGTTGCTTGACAGCCGGATTGACAATCGCAGCACCAGACGCCTGCCGTAAATTGATGGTTGTATCGCCATCTCTCTCTCTCTCTGAAGTTATAAGAGATTCATTTCTCATAGATTATTATATATACAAATATATTTTCCACCATATTTGTTTCCGTTAAGAGGGCTTAACGGAACGAAATAATGGGTATGTTCCGAAATACAACGCAGTGTACTGTCCAATGCAAATGACGTCATGAATCGACGCTATACTGGTGATTCGTTCCAAAACATTGGACAGTATATGACGTCATACTTTTGCGCCATTTGGATAAGTGTTGGCGTTTATTTTGTCATTTTGTGCTCCAAAAATCATTATATCCTCCTAATGGATATACCATCAATTATTCTATAATTTTTTGTATTTGAATAAATAGAAACAAATTCTAGTATGCTTCATTCGGCAAAAACACAATTAAAAATTGTTTTATTATGGCCGGATATCCGACACAATATGGCGGCGGCACGCTAGTACAATAAAGTGTCAAATGATACGTCATTTGCATTGGACAGTACACTGCGTTGTATTTAGGAACATACCCATGGTGGAATATATTATATAACATATGGAAATATATAAAATAAATGGATTCTTTCACAGTGCCAACACACGACTGAAACCAAAAATCAATTCTAGTAAAATATACTTACCGTCATCGTTTGTACCCTTGACACCTAGAGAATGAGATGGGGTGTATGATAAATGTCAAAATATTTAATCACCCAGAGGGGTAGGCAGAGACTTTTTTTGTATAGATCTTTTTTGTGAGCATTTGTGAAACATATAAAACAATATGATTGATGATATTATACCTACGCGTACTTGCTCGGTTAAGGGTACTCTTAGTCTGGCCCATCTTCAACACATCGCCAATTTGGTCAATAATCTTTTGTCTAGGGCTCTAGGGCGTCCTTTCTCAACTCTCCCGTTCATTTCTTTGTCACTCTTTCCTCTTTCATTCTTTCTACATGACCAAACAACCGAAGCATTCCTTTCTTAATCCTGGTCATATCATCTTTGCAAGATACCATAGACCATACTATTCTCTCATCACACAATTTCTCACCCTGTCATTCAGATTCAGCTATTCCCGAGGCAGTGAGCAGGTAAGTGAACACGGCAATGGGAAAATCAAAATTGGCTTGTATTGTGGTGATCACTACTTTTAGTAAAATCTGCTTATAGTGAACCTGGTTTGGATGTTTCTATATGTGTACTTTGGATTTTATTTATTTAAATACTTCCAAAACTCTTAATTTTTCTAAGGAATTCTTACTGTAGAATAACTATTTTATTTAAAAGTGTTTTCAAAGTAATAGTATGGATATATCATGTATGTTATGTTATCTTTTTTATTAGTTATTAGAAGCAAAGAAAGCTCTAGAAGCTCACTACACGGCCAAGTATCAGGAGTTAAGGGAAGCCTCACAGAAAATGGAAGACGACATGCATCATCAGATTAAATTGAAGGACATGAGGATCGAGGAATTGGAGTTAAAAGTACAGCAGCTGGAGAAACAAGTTGAAGTGCTAAAGGTTATCATATAAATAATATGATATTTTCTTTTGTATATACCTTTTCCAATCGTAACAGCCTAAGTATTACAGGGCATATCTTTTCACAAAATTACCATCCGAAGGGGGATATCTTGTAATTGGCAACTTAAAACTAACGTCACCCAAAATTCATAATATTATATATTCATAGTGAATATATAATATTATGAATAATATAATATACAGTGCAATAATATTGAATGTATTGCACTGTTGACAACTTGTGAAGAACATAGCGTCATATTCAAAACTAGACCAATTTCATTTTTATAATTATTTGCTTATAATTTAATATATGTGATTCAATTACAGAATAATATGAGAAACATGGAGAAGGATGCGGAGAGTAAATATTCTGGTTTAACAAAGGATCAGACTGCAAGTCTAATACAAGAATTGGTAAGAATTACCACCATTAAGGTAGTTTATAAAATCTCTTTGTTATTAAATTAAACAAAATTATAATAAATAACATCTATTTTACGAAATGCCAAATAGCAAACAAAAAATAGTACACAATTCATATATCGCAATAATATTGTGGTCGTTAAAAAGAAAAGGGGAGACGAAGATCTGCCGCCGGATAAAGTTTTCAGCCCAGAGAGCATTCAGCATATGTAACACTTATTGTAATACAGTGGACTCCGGGTAATCCGGCCCCTGGCTAATCCGTACCCCCTTGTAATCCGACATGCCTTTAACATGTAGGTACAATCGAGTCGCGTTATGAATTCGCCATGGGGGAGGTGTCCTTCGCGAATACGTGGACAAACAGGTTGCAATTAGTTCGCGTATTGTCACAGTTTAAATGTGACCATGGTGGTAGCCTAGCGGGCATTCATCGTTTACTGTTTAGGTATTCATTGTGCATCACATGAAATTCTTATTATTTTATATTTGATACGTAATTTGTCGAATTACAAGGTTCTCATTTTTAATAAGTTCTGGTCTACCAGGGGATTGTAGCAGTACTCTACAGTCTGACAAATTTGATAATCTGATGCAGCCTTTCAAAACGTTTATCTGATTACCGTGTGACATCAGTAGACCGATGTATGTCAGACAAAAAGATCTCGTCGCATCTTTAGTTTCCTAACTGACTGTCCACGTATTAATAATAATCCATCTTTTCCAGCGTTGTTTAGAAGAGAAGCTGGACAGTGCGGTCCAGTCAAAGGCCTTTTTCAAAGAGCAATGGGGCCGAGCGGTCCGTGAACTGCATCTTACCAAGATGAGTTCACGGAGGAATATGCTGGCACAGTTGAGGAGGGAGAAGGGTCTTTTGAACCAAGTTGGGTGAGGATATTCAGTCATGCACGTAATTGAAATCGTCATTTTTCCGCTCAGAGGAACCACATTTTCATACATTAACCGAACAGAATCTGCTTTTTTATATAATAAGCGTGAGAAACGAGCACACAGTCCACCTGATGGTAAGTAGATACTGTGGCCCATAGACATCTACCTTTATCCTCAATTAAGAAATAAAATGAAGATTGTCACCCCTGAGTACTATTGAGATTGATTGCCTCGTATCCAGTATAGGGTCTCCGGTTCTCTACACTCACTATACGAACACAGCAGCATTTAGCTGCTATTTCGCGCTGGTATTCTGTGAGAGCGTGGTCCTACCCCGGTCGAACTGACCCTTTCTTGCTACAACAATATAGCTGTAGCGTGGCTCTACCATGTACGCTTACCATCAGATGGACTATGTGCTCTTTTGTCATTCTTATACAATTAAAATATTAGGAAACCGCCTCTGAATGATCGAAGTGACCTCTGATCACCTGATTTAGCTGGGTTCGAACCCAATATCGGAGTCAAAAATTGTTCAAAAGTACATAGATTTTTTGATTGTACTGCTCCCCGGTCGCGGGTCGCGGCCCTCAACGGCTTTAAACAGGCCTTTTCCACCGAAACATTCAGAATATTCCAGCAAATACCGGCCCCGACCGACCAGGTGCAGAAAGTTCGAGTGTGGGGCTTTCTAGAAAGCTTAATTCTTCTATTCGATACTAGATGGCGCTGTTGGGAGAGTTCTAGAAAGATCTTGACACTCCTATTTCTGATACTTGATACCAGATGGCGCTAGTGCTATCAACTGTGGCACGCAACAATATTAATCACATTCGTTGAAATTTCGGTAGCGTGATTTAGTATTCGATTAGTTTTTGGCCCGTCGTTTACTCTACACTATACACTTGTGACATTTTATAAACTCCTGCTTCTGAGAAATTAAAAAAAAGGTAAAATTGATGGTACAAATTTATCGCGATCAGTACTCTTCAACTGATAATTCTGTTACACATAATTAGTGTGTCTCAAATAACAAATAATAAACTTTCAGTTTGGATACAATTGATGATAGCGAGATAAGCAAAGCAGATCTGAGTGAAAATGACATAAATAAGTTGAAGGATGACTTTTATGCTGATTTGCTGGCGAACACACCGCCCCTGGAATCACATTCTGCGAACAGTGAGTTCTTTTAAATGTTGTTTAATAGTATTTTTAGATTGTCAGGCTGTAAGTCCCAGATCTACGCGGGCCCCGTGTTGTAACTGTAATTAAAAAATATTGTTTACTAATTTACCAAATGCAAATAATTAATTAAAATACTAATTCTTGGAGAAAACCTATGTTAAGCATTGGATTTGTGATAGATAGGCTGTTATGATGATAAGGATGATGAAATAAAAATATTTTCCAGTTTGTTTCTCTAAAAACATCAGAAAATCGAATAGGAAAGGAAGAATATACTTGTCCGTCACATTTGTGGCGCACGTCACGCAGTGGAACGACTGTGCATCACTTACCATCAGATGGAATAGCAGTAGCACAAGCACTGGCTTAGAATAGTAAAAGAAATACAGGGGCAAGTGTATATATTGTACAAATAGCATCGTAATCTTAACTACTATACAGCGTTATTTTGCAATGTATTCTCAAATTTGCAGAGAAAGTTCAGTATAAGTAATATAGGCGAATGGTGAAGAAAAATTAATAAAATATTCTCTAATATTGTCCTTTTTATTTTTTAAATTCAGATTGCGTGGTAATGCATTATTCAAACTGAACGTCATTCATAAATATCTAATGCGTACTATTTTACTACGCACGCACACATTCGTAAGGATCGCTCGATCGGCAAAAACGAGAGTTGAATCCCACACAGAGGAGTGCACGTACGCGTAGTTGTTGAATCACATTCAATTTGGGATAATCTCAAATAAAAAAAGAAACCTTATTTACTCGTATTTGCAAAAATTGCTATAACGGTATATCTTTATTTACATGTTTGACAGTTTGACTGCCTCGTTGGTGTAGTGGTTGTAGTAGTGCGACTGCTGATCATGAGGTCCTGGGTTCGAAACCCGGGTAGGGCCAAAAAATTCAAATATTGAGTTTTTCTGTCAAGAAATTCTCAGTAACTGCCCGGAGTCAATAAGTTGGCGGTGTCTCACCCCCGTGCCTCGGAAAGCACGTAAAGCCGTTGGTCCTGCGCCTGATCTCTCTCCGGTCGTGTCGGTTTACCGTCCCATCGGATTATGAGAGTGAGGGAATAGAGAGTGCACCTGTGCTTGCGCATACACTTGGTCACTATAAACGTGTCCTGCGCCGATGGCTAGCCTCCGTTGAGGCTGGCCGCCGTGACCGAAATTTGGTCTGGAAGACATTATTTATATGTTTGAACTTAAATATAAAATTTGGATACTATGAAAAATATTCCCGTTTATTTTTATACTTTCATTTTTGAAAACAATTTTCTGTTTATTTCTTTTTAACGGTGGTTTGGTCATGTAGAAGGAATGAATGAGGAAAGAGTGACAAAGCAAATTTATATGGCAGATGTGAACGGCCGAGTCGGAAAGGGACGCCCTAGGAAATTGTTTATCGACCAAATTGGCGATATTTTGAAAATGGGCCACGTTAGAAGTACCCTTAACCGACGAACATGTATGCGTAGATATATGGATGTAAAGGAGGCGAAAGAGGTATGTCAGGATCGTGCCAAATGGAAGTCCGTAGTCTGTGCCTACCCCTCTGGGTGACAGGCGTGAGTGTTTATGTTATGTATGTTATTTCTTTTTAACGCATTAAATCCGCTACTGATCGTAGGATTCAATGATTAGACATTCACTTTTCACATTGGTATGCAACCTGTATTCATTTAAGTTGGTTCGGGTAGAAAATATGTTACCGATTCCGATGATACCGATACCGATGATCGCGTTTGTTTTTGTTCCAATTTTAATATATTTTTTTTTGTGTTAAAGGTATACCGGGTCCCGGTGGCTTGAACATGTTCGGCGATAATATGAAGTAAGTATTATTTATGTAAAGTTAAAACCTGCGTACGTCCTAGTGTGTCAGGCGCGCTGCATCAATCAGATTTCACAACATCTCGTTGAAATATGAAAATACGTAAAAAGCGCAACGGTTACGCTAAATATTCTACATGTCGGTCGCGCAGAGTGACGCAAAACGGTAACGCAAAATAGTTAAGGTGGGTTCATACATTGTGTGTTTTTTATTCGACTGCCAAGGAAGGGTTATGTTTTGCGCGCGTATCTTTTAAGTATGTTTGCAAATTTCTTTATTAACCCGTATAATTCCAAACGGGTAGATGAAATTCGATGATTAAGGTGTCATTAGATTCGTCTCAAAAACGCAAGTGTCCTTAGTTAGGGTCGTCTCTTTCGTAAAATCTCCTTATAGACCAAGACTCAATTCAATTCAATTTATTTGCTAATCTTGTTGTATACATATGGTCTTAATTATAAAAATAGTTCCAAACAAGAACCCTGCAAGGGCACTGGAAATATTGGCAATTATTATTATCATTATTATTATTATTGCATTTACATTATGGTATTATTAATAAAGTTATCAAGTAATGAATATTTAAAATTAACTTAAATATTATTTTCAATCTATATTTTTTACCATCGGGTTATTCACAACATCTATAAACGTATCTGTATTCTGTCATCTGTATCTGTAATCTGTATTCGTGAGAACATTGTATTCTAAACTCTTTTTTTATATTTTTTTTACCGGTGCTGCAACATTAATTAGCTGTTCATTAACAAAGTTTTCTGATCTCTTAAGACCGATTTACACTTCGACAAGTACAGTAGCGAGTTAACTTGCGAACCTGGCGAGTTAAATTTGAACCTCGTTTGAACGCCAATAAGCGAGTTAAGTAGCAAGTTAACAATTAAGTTGAACGGGATAGCCGGCCGAGCTATTTTTCGGCGCGTTAAGTGCGAAGTACTGCCCTCCCGCAACTAAACTCGCCGTTCGTGTAAACGAGCGAGTTTAGTTCAGTGCATAAGTTGACACGACGCAACGTTTGCGCGCCAAAACGTACAATTGTACTTTTATAATTAAACTCGCCACAAAATTTTTACGATACTGTTTATTGAATATTTATACGTTTAATATTGGGTTTTAATAATAAAATGGACGGAAGATATCACGTATAAATTTGTACAGGAGTATTTACAACATGAATGTTTATATAATAGTAGAAGTTCAAATTTAAAATTAAACCTGCTTGAGATGCTGCAATCATGAAAATACTTAAAAACTTCTTTAACAATAACCATTAATACTTCTCTGACTGGATCACTTAATTCTTGACGTAATCCTAGAACCATCTTAAACGAAAACCAGAAAAATTTGTAGTCTTGAAACGTCATACTCCAACGAACTCTATGAACTAATGTCCTTAACTAAACTCGCCACGAAGACATTGTTTGAACGCTACTGCCCACTTAACCGTTTACTGTCAACTGCTCTGTAACTAAACTCGCTACTGTACTTGTCGAAGTGTAAATCGGTCTTTATAGGGAGTGTTTTCTTGTTCTTGTCCAATAGCAGTTTCCGCTTCCGGCTCCTGGTGTTTCTTCGCTAATTCCCGGTAGTCACTCTTTAATTTACGCATTTTTCTTTTGAGAGAATTATAACCTCTCATTAGTTTTTGAACGTGTTCACGAAGTTGATTATTTTCATGTCGCACTTTTTTCTCGATATTTCTCTGAATATTTCTAATCGCAGTCCTATTCATATACACATTGCTTCTACCCTTCGTTTCATTGTGGTCAGGCCTGTCTGGAACTTGTGCAGTCAAAATGTTTTGAGTTTCCCGATTGTTTTCATTTGAAGGGTTTTCTGTATAATCCTGCACATTGGTAGATAGTAAGCTTTGATAGCTCTTGATTTATTTTTCTTTTTTATGTCTAATTATGTTTCAAGTTGGTTTTTTTAGTTTTTCCCTATATCTCCTTGATTTTACTGACTGAGTCAGAGGCATCTTTAAGGAAATATCGACGTTATAGCTTACAGTAACGTACAGAAAATAAAAAATACGAAAATCATAGCCAAGTAAATCGCTAAATATATAATTTTCACTAGACCCACACACAACACGAAATCCGGCGATTTATCGGATAATTTTGAAGACGCCTTCCTCGTTTGGATCCTTTTTCGTCTGGATTGCGCTTTTTTCATCCTGTATCCGTTTCGCCTAAGGACATTTTAGTAGAATTGTACGTGAAGCGGTTGCCATAAAGTAATTAGACTGCATTACCGCTGAATATACCTTTTTAAGAATACTCTAAATGGCTTTTGGCTCTAAATGGTCCATGACTTGAAATATTTAATATGCTCATCACAATAAGAATAGAGCCATGGTTCGACCCCCGTTCATCATCATCATCATTACAGCCCTTCACAAGTCCACTGCTGAACAGAGGTCCCCAAAGTATGCCACAAAGCACGGTCCTGAGCCACCTGCATCCATCTAGTTCTTGCATGTCTTAACAGGTCGCCACTCCATCTAGTGGGGGGTCACCCTACACCTCGCCTACTTGTACGAGGCTGCCACTCGAGAACCTTTTTTCCCCAACGGTTGTCGGTTCTTCGAGCTATATGGCCGGCCCATTGCCACTTCAGCTTACTAATCCGTTGGGCTATGTCAGTCACTCTGGTTCTACTGCGGTATCCTCATTTCTAAGTTTATCGCGCAGAGAAACTCCGAGCGTAGCCCTCTCCTTCGCTCGCTGAGCGACTTTGAGCGTCCTCATACGGCCAGCAGTGAAGGACCACGTCTCGGTTCCGTAGGTTATCACTGGCAACACGCACTGGTTGGGTTGTACAACTTAGTTTTCAGGTTTTGAGGTATACCTGACGAGAAGATGTGTCATAATTTCCCGAACGCTGCCCAGCCGAGTTGAATCCGTTGATTGACCTCTTTGGTCGAAGTTGGACTTACCTAGTCGGACTATTTGTCCCAGGTAAACGTACTCGTCAACAACTTCGAGCTTAGTTCTCCCAACAATTACGTTATTTCCCCGAAACTCTTCACCGCTGCATTGAAAGACGTTTTCAAGCTACTGGACTGGAAAGGATACGGTATTAACATCAATGGCGAGTACATCACTCACCTTCGATTTGCCGACGGTATAGTCCTTATGGCAGAATCGCTGGAGGACTTAGGCACTATGCTCAATGACCTCAATAGTGCCTCCCAACGGATAGGTCTTAAGATGAACATGGACAAAACAAAGATCATGTTTGATGTCCATGTCACACCTATGACCCCCGTTGACACCAAAGAAATTATTGTTAATTGTAATTTTAAGTGCTGATTTACCACGTGCGGTGGTAAATCATGGCGGTGAAGGAAAACGATGGGCGATGTTGCATCTTGCGAACATGTGATGTGTCATGTGTGCCATTTCTCACTGGGGCAGCGCGGCGGACTAGTTGCTCGATAACTCTCTCTGAAATAGTAAGAGGCCGTCGCTTTACTTTACGGTAAGATCCTGCATCCATCTCCATCTATTTAGATATTACCGAATGGACAAGTGTAAGACCCACTAGATGTAGTGACGATCTGGTAAGAGATGTGAGAAGTCGACGCTTGCAGGTGGCTCAGGACCGTGCTTTGTGGCGTTCCTTTGGGGAGGCTTATGTTCAGCGCTGAAATTTGAAGGTTTGTTATGATGATAATGATGATGGAGACGCGTAGACAATGAACATACGTAATTAGTCAGTCGGCATAACCTCATACGTTAGTTGGCAGACTGCACCATGTACGTTTTGAGAAAAAGTACATCATTGGTACCCCATTACAGCCTCGAAGACAAAGTACCCTGAATTACTTACCATTTTACTCCTTTAATCATTTAACTACTTCACATCAAATGATTTTTTTTAACCCTGAGGCCCTTTTTTAACATGGTGAAATGCCTCCGCCTCGCGGGGGCAAGGACGCCGCATATTGGCAGGGCCACAGGAACTCTTTCGCACACATCCGCGGCCCCATCAGCGCCGGCAGCCCCATGGCGGCGCCTCTTCGGAAGAGGACCACTCCTCCCCTTTCTCATTCTAAAGTAAGGCGCGCCTTCCTCCACGGCCTCCAACTATACCTGCGCAATGCACGCCCCCGTCCGATGCGTGTAGGCCATGGGGCCAGGAAAAACGAGTACTCAGAAGCCTAGCCTTCCTACCCCAGCGGCGGATCAGGTCTGTGACTCCGCCGCCAGCCAAGATTTGGCTGCAAAGGGTAGGGAGAGCGGCGCCTCGCAATACCGACACTCCTCTCCCCCCGCAGCCCCACCACCACCGCATCAATGGTGCGACCCCGTTTGCGTTGCGGAAAATATTACGAGTGGCGCATCGCCATGCCAACACTCCTCTCTTCCTCCGTGATTCCACCTCGGCTGCAGCGGTATGAGGAGAGGACACCCCTCTCGCCGTAGCCCACCAGCACACATCCGAAGTGGGGCCCACTCGGTGTGTCCACCTCAGGCCGGCCCTTCACCTCGAGCCAGCCATATGGGTTCCTCTTTGTTCAACCAGTTCGGGGGGAACCCTGAGGCCCTACTTATATTTCGATACTTAACAGACTAACGAGCCCTGACATTCGAGGTCTCGTTTTCCATTATTAACAAAATTTAGATATGTTTATACTGATATATATACACACAGCATAAAGCTCTCCGGGACTATATTTAAGGGTACAATAGTCACTCTTTTTTCCATACAAACGTAGTCAGGCGATTACTCCACTGTTTGATGGTGTACGTACAAAATAAAAAATTATTTCAATTTGTCTCATCATTATCTAGCCCTGTATGGAAACAAAAATGTAAAAAAAGAAGTTTAAAAGTTATAAGCGTCGAAAATTCCGATTTCAACACTATTTTTAACACACCTTTGGGCGGAAATAAATACCATAAGAAGAACGTAAATTGCAAAACAGTTACCAAACAGGGATAGATTAGTTGTTCAAAAATGCAAATAGTTTTATT